CTCTCGAAGGAGCTCGGGACGGTGATCGGGGCACTGAAGTTCCTCAACGTCCTCCTCGCTTACTTCACGGCACTTCTGCGGTACACACTCGAATCGCTCCTCGGGCTCCTCGGGTATGACGACCGGGTTCTCGGTTTGCGATCCTATATGATGCAATGCGTGTAAGTGCTTATGCAATCGGTGCATCGGATGAGATGAATACAATGGATATGTTTGAATGCAAGGTAGTCAACATCATCCAAGAAAATATACTACAAGCATATGTCATCTACTGCATTCTCTTCTACTACTAATAGGTTAAGTCAACACATCTTATTAAATGCTTCAAAGATACACCAAAGTTAACATTATTAACTAACTTGCATTAAAGAGGATTATTTTATTTCATTTTAAACTAGGGCTACTACAGCAACCTATATTTCTGGTGCTTATAAAAATCTAAGAAAATTATAGTAGCATAGTACTACTCTAAGTAGACTACCATAAAATTTTCATGGCGTTTGGATAAGTAAAATAGTCTACACAAAAATGACAAGGTATGGCAGGATTATGAACATAAAAATACTTTGAACTGTGAAAAGTGTCAAACAACAGAGTTAGTATTTTTCCTAGGTTCTTCATAGCATACAATGACTGTACAAAAATTATCACATGCATGTTTTATACAAAGTTGCTTGAACTACACCTCAAAATTTTCCCACAGCACATGCATGAAACATATTTCTCCTAGGAAATACATGACATAAGAAGATTAACAAACTTGAAATCATATTTTTTCTGAAGCCTATAGATTTTTCTACATATTTTTCAAGTTATCAGCAATATACATGATTAAATAAAATTCTGCAGCAAAGTATCTCAAAAATGACATGCACAATTTTTCCCAAGTAGATCTGATGATAAGGAACCTAGACAAATTTATTTCAACAGATTTGGAGCAACTTTGAGTATCCAAACATTTTGCAAACCATATCTATTTTCAAATAATAAAGAATAAATTGAAAACAATTTCTTTAAACGCTACTGGGGCTAGCTCCATTGAATCACCGCCCACGGCCGCTTTTATACTCTGTGTCCCGAGCATAAGGGAGGGGGAAGACGGCCCGGCAAAGTCCGCCCACGACCACTCGGCTTTGGCCGAGGCGAGGTTACTGTGGCTTCTTACTTGGCAAGCCAGCAGCGCTTTCGGCCATTAAGGCCAGCCGACCATCTCTCGCCATGGCGGGCGGCGGGCGCGCACGGATCTGCGAGAAGATGGCGAATCTGGTAGGGCAGCTAAGCGGGCCGTGGAGAAAGAGAAGAGTGACTTCCATGGCGGCCGAGCACGGCGGCGCCATGGCCATTGGTGGCGAGGCTGAGGCGGCTCTACCTGAGCTCGGCAGGTGGCGCAAATGCGAGCACAACTTGAAGAAGGGCGAGGCGGAGCTGCGGGCGCGTGATTGTTGGCCGAGGTGGAGGAGCCGCGGTGAATTGCGCCGGCGGGTGCGTGGCGCGGCGAGAGGCGAGTTTGGGGCTCTCGGCTCTGGCGGAGAGGAAAGGCGGCGCGGGGGGGAGTGAGCGCACCGCTCCAGCAGTGTGTAAGCGGCGCGGGCGCGGCGCGGCCGGCCGCTGACGCGAGCATGCGTTGTCGACGGCATATGGCCGCTCTGCGGCGAACACGCCTTCGCCTGATCGGGCATCGGCAGCAAATGGCGTCAACAGGCGGCGTCGCGGTGGCGAGCAATACGGCTGCTGGCCGGGCTAAGGCGAGGGCGAGGCGGCCTTGACGGGGATCTTGGCTAGGCCGGCTTGATCGTGGGCCGTGTGAGGTATCCTCCACAGGTATCCATTTCCTGGGTGTGAACCTGTGATGGGAGGAGCCTAGGGTGGAGGTGCTGTGCTGGCTACCGTCGATGAGCTCCACCTCGCGCAGTGCCCGCCACGAGCGAGAGTCGCTCTGCACACGGGATGACAAGCGCAGGCGTCCTGGCAGCACTGCTGTTCGCACTCCGACTTAGGGCTAGTGGCGCGCCACCGCTGCCCCTCGTCCTCTGCAATACGGTGCGCCTCGTGCTGGTCCCCTACTCGCCGTTCTTGTTCCGGTTGCGGGATGTGTGCGCCACCACGTGCGCAGCCGGGGTGGTGGAGGTGGCGTCCATGGCGGATCCGCGCCATCGCGGCGGGCAACCCCATGGCAGCGTCGCATGTGCTCAACTGCTAGCGGGAGTTCCCCATCGCGGCCGCCATCGACAACCTCCTCGTCATGTCCATCAGCACAGGGACGTCAGCACGGCGTCGCGGGGCATCGGTCACGCCATCGCGGCGCACCTGTGCTTGGGCGCGAGCCTGGTGCTGGGCTACGCGTCGCGCTCCGACGAGGCGGCCGCCCACGACTCCCTTAGGCCGAGGATGCGCCTGGACGTGGCTCGGGCACGCGAGACGGCGAGCTTGGTCTTGGCGAGCGACAAGCGTAGGAGCGCTGCTGGGGGGCTCGACGCGTGAGACGGCGAGCTGCAAGCGTAGGCAACTCGGGTGGCTTGGCGTGCGCGACGGCGAGCAGCAAGCACAGGCGTGCTAACTCGGGTGGCTTGGTGTGCAAGACGGCGGGCAGCAAGCGCAGGCGGACTGACTCGGGTGGCTTGGCATTCGCAACGGCGAGCTCGGTGCCTCAATCGCACACGGGACGACGAGCGCAGGTGTGCTGCTCCAGTGGCTCAGCGCGCGTGAGTGCGTGCGGCGATGCCCTCTTTTTTCTTCCACCCTCTCCTGCTTGCATGCTTCCATGGCGTCTACGGAGCTCCCACATGCCAACCATCACCTTCATCTCGTCCAACCCCGTGGTCCCATGCATCTAGGAGGTAGGAGCTTGCCTTGGGAGGAGCTTGGCGAAGGGGACGGATGGGGCTCGCCCAGGGAGGAGCCGTGCCACGCCGCCGTGGAAGGCCGCTGTGTCGCGGATGGGGAGGAGCTCGCCCAAGGACAGCGCGTGTCCCACGCCCTCACTTGCTCCATTCAGCACCACGGCCTCATGCGTCGCGGCCGACACATACCCCGCCATGCGCCGTGGCCAACACCACCACCAAGGCCTTCGACCGCGTGCTCGCCGTGAACTTGCGCGAGTTCCCCGCAGCGGCTACCATCAACAACCGACGCGAGTTCCCCGCCGACGCAGACCGTGGGGCAGATCCCCGCGGGGAACCCCCGTCGCTCTCGCGCCCCATGGCATAGTAGCGCGCGGCTTCAATGCACACGTCGTGGAGAGCAGCGATGTTGACCATGGCAAAGGGCGCGACATTCGCGTGACAGTAGATGGGGTCAGGAGCAGCGCCGAGCGCGGCATCCGAGGTTCTGTATGGCGCGCAGGCCGCCACTCACGCGCTGGTTACGACGGAGGAGGCGGAGGACTTAACGTCCGTATGCGCTGATGTACCCATACGTGCCTGACGGTGGGCCCATATACGCTAGAGGCGTACAAAATGGCATGGATGAGTGAGAGATGGATTATAATGACAGTTCTCCAAATAGACGAATTTTAATGGCATATATCAAACTTGCAAAATTGTGATGGCGCGGATCAATAAAAAACCTTGATAAAATATGAAGAAACCAATGTTATCTCCCTACTATCATGAGTCATGAATATTACTACTAGCAAAGTATTTAAATTGTATGGTATTCCAGTATATGCGTGCTTTGATGTCCTGGTACCACTTCATGTATTGACTATTATCCTTATGAATTGAAGCAACTCTGTATCATCTATAAAAAGAAGACGAATTAAATTATGGAAGAGAAAATAGTAGTGATAATGTTCTATGTTGGTTTCTTACCTTGAGGTATGATTGCATCGAAGTGGCGAGGTTTGCACTTATATACATGACTTGTAGTCTTGTTCCCAACATTTTTTTTTTGATATAATAATTTTTGGGAAGTGGATTGATATAATTATCCGTTGTGATGTTATGGTCCCATGGAATGTGAACTAGAGAAGTATTTAATAACAAATTTTCTGTTAATAAATGTAAATGGTTCTCTATCTCCCTTTGCTATGGACCAAAGCAAAGTATATGATTTCTGCCTCAAATAAGGTGCAGCGGATGAGAAACTGAATTGTTATGCTAAAACCACTATTTGGAGCTTGTGTCTACTATATGTAGTAGCCCTGTAGGGCGTCTGTGTATGTTTTTTTGTGGGTGTGGGTGGGTGGGGGGAGGGGTTGGCTTCTCAGCTGTATTTTCTGTTCTTCAATGTTTACTTATCTGTCTTCTTGTTTTTTTTATCATCTATCAATGCTAAGTGCTATGGTATCTCCATTCTCCTATGTTCAAATGCCATAGCACTTAGTGTTAAGGAGTTCACATCACATCAACTTGTCGACCTGTTGGTTGCTGGTACTTTTGTTTCTGCATTACAGAGTGGTGAATTTCTTGAATTAGAGTTCAGAAGTTTATCCATACTATTATGGACATCATCATTTTCATTTTATGTTACTTAGTGGTTTAAATGCGTTGCTGTACGTAATCTTCCTTTGAGAAATCATTGCTATTGGGGATTTCACACACTTCATTCCATCATCGGAGGCAGCCTAATGGTCAAAAGTCAAAACTGTTGCTGTGTGTGGACTCTGTTCAAGGTTCAAGGATGAGCTTTGTCCGATCATTTCAAGTATGATTCCAAAGCTTTGTCCATTTCGGTGTAGTAGTAGAGCTACATCTTGTTTTCGCAAAACCTTTTTCCGATGGGCTACTGAGTACTGACCAGCAAGGCTGCAGGCCGCCTGGTCAATGGAAGAAAAAAATTTCTCTTATTATATGGGAAACAAAAGTAGTTTTCTTAATAAAGGGAGAATAAAATAAGAGTTTGCCTGTACAAATACAATGCTTGCGCATGGGCCAAGAGCGTCCATGTTTCGGCCCTGTATGGCCCCAACTCCTTTTCTAACCTCGCAGGCTCAGGTTCACAACACCCAGCGGCGCATCGGTTCTGGGTTCTCTTGGACTTCTGGGTTTCCCCAAATTGGGATGGCGATTGACTCCGGCGGCGGCAGCGGCGGTGGAGCGAAGAAGCAAAAGGTGGATGAGCATGACCGATGTGAGGCGGCGGGATCGGATGCGATCCGCGCAGACCGCATCTCGGCGCTCCCCGACGAGCTGCGGCTGCACATCCTGACGCACCTCCCCCTGAAGGACGCCATCCACACGGGGGCGCTCGCTCGCGGGTGGCGCGACCTGTGGAAGCGCCGGTGGGCGCACCGCGCCTCCGTCGAGGTGCACCTCCGCTCCCGCGACAACCTGCGGAGGGAGCTGGAGGCCCTGGCGCGCGAGCCGCGCCCGCGCCGCCGCCTCGAGCGCTTCTCCCTGATCGTCGACATCTGGAACCTCAAGTCCTCGGAACTCCGGCGTTTTCTCGATTACGCCGCCGAGTGCGGCGTCGAGGACCTCGACGTGGAGACGCGCAAGATCACGGCCGCGGACAAGCTCAATTTCCACCTGCCGGCGGTCTCAAGCCCGTCCCTGGCGTGCCTCTCGCTCCGCCGCATCAGCGTCTCCAGCATGTACTACAAGGGCGCCCGGGCATTCCAGGCTCTCGAGGTCATCCGGCTCGTATCGGTCTCCTTTCGCTGGAAGGCTTTCACAAAAATGATGGCGTTGTGCCCCAGCCTCCTCATTCTCGATCTGCGCAGCTGCCGCTGTTACGGTGACCGCTGGGTATTCTACGAGCTGCCACCAAAACTGAGGAATCTTACCGTCGCGGACTGTAGTAAGATCACCAGTCCGGACTTCGTGCGTGTGCCTAGCCTGCGCTCCTTTTGCTACAGCGGCCACTTCTCCAACATGCCTTTATCCATTGTACGCCATGCCGTGCTTTCTGATCTTTATATTCACTTACATGACTCACTACCGATGAAAGAGTGGAATATCTTTAAGTTGAGGGAATCTCTCCCGAAGGATTTATCCATCCTCAACGTTCTCACCATCTCTTACACAGCCCTCACGGTACTTTCTCCATATTGAATCTTGTTTATTATTTCTGATCTTCTTGTCACTCAGGAATAACTTTTATTTGCTTGATTTCCATAAATATGAAAGAAAAAATCATGGTTTTTTAAACCTAACCATGCCTTTTATTTAGGCTGCATCTGTCTTGTCAGCCGATGGAGCCAGTGCCCAGTTGCCCAATTTCAACTTACACAGTTTGAAAGAGCTACACCTACTCATGTTTGAAATGAAAGCTGCCGACCTATCCAACTTGTATCTGTTCCTCAAGACCTTCCAATGTCCTAATCTGGAGAGGCTCTTTGTGCAGGTTAACGCAATCAATGCCTTTGTAATTTCTTTGCTTTATAATCATCCTGTCTTTCTGACTATGGTTCTTCTTTGTAGTTCCCGGCCTATAGAGAGCCCATGGTCAGGGTAAAGGTGATGGAAGAGCCACCAGAAGATGGCTTAGACAACCTTGTCATGGTAAAGGTCATGAACTTCAACTGGTGCCCCTCCGAGGTGCAGCTAGTGAGTTTTCTGTTGAGGAAAGCTAGGTCTTTACGTAAACTTTTAATAGTTTCTTGCAATGTCACTCCAGTGGATTTGCCTGGTACACCAGAAACAGACCATTCACTTCTCAAAGAAGCTTTGGTCAATGGCAAGATAACGCTGATTGAGTCTGACAGTACAGCAACTCAACCGTATCATGAGGCCTTGATCAAGGTATTCTAGTTGTAAATCACCAGTCGAGTCAGAGCCCTATGGATAGTAATATCAGCTTATCAGGGCATTATCCTTTTGGTTGTAGTTCCTATTGAGAAAATGATAAGATATGAAGAACGAATGTTGTCTCCTTAATTTTTTTCTTGAATATTACAACAACAACATAGCCTTTCAGTCCCAAGCAAGTTGGGTTAGGCTAGAGTTGAAACCCACCAAGAGCCCCAAGTCACGGTTGAGGCACTTCAATAGCTGCTTTCCAAATGTTGCATTATGCTCGTGCTTTGCTATCCTGGCACAATTTGCATGATGTATTTGACATATTGTCCTTATGATGATGAATCAGAGCAGCTCTGCCGCTTCATATTATCTTTCACAACTCTAATGTGAACCAGAAACAATGATAATGTTATATGTTGTTGGTTATCTTCCTTGTTGATATTTTACTTTGAGGTATCAGATTGAATCAAAGTGAAGAGGTCTGCGCTTACTTACATGACGTTTAGTCTTGTTGCCAACATATTTTTTTTTTTTTTGATATGGTAACTTTCAGGAAGTAGCCTCATTGATAAACAAAGTGCACTGCTGATAGTGATGGATTTGATTATCTGTTGCGATTGCCATGGAGTGCGAACTATAGAAGCAAACTTGCTTTCAGAATTCTCTTTAACGTTTTTTCGTGGTTTATGGTTGCTGAATGAGTAATGGTTCTCTATCTCCCTTTGCTTTGGACCAAAGGGAAAAAAGGATTTCTGCCTAAAATATGGTGTAGCGCACGGGAGATTGGATAACCTTATATCATTAAATAGATGAATTGTGATACTAAAACCACTCTTTGGAGCTTGCTGTCTGCTTTCAGTAGCATTTTTAGGTAGCTAGTCTGCACTATTTACTTTTCTGTCTTCTTGTTTTCTTGTGAACGCTTTCAATAATTATCAAAACAGTTCTGAACATTACAGTTATCGCTCCTAGCATACTTTATAAATTATAATCGAGCTTTGTGCTTTGTGATTATGAAACTGGGCAGAGAATCTGATATTGTTGTTCCTTTTTTTAGTGCATAGAGTTCAGGTTTCAGTTGGAAAGAATAAACTTTCCTGCCTCGGGTCTTTATTTAGTCCTAAATGGTAACACATGAGCATATGCCGATTTTTAAGGCCCGCCGCCGCTGCACGCGCGCTTGTATGAGTTTGGTACTTTGCTTGCTTACTAGTTGCCTGAGGGCAGTGATACCATGGGATGATATCATAGGGTAATCGTGTGCATCCAGAGCTGTGTCATGCTCTTGTTTTTTGTTGTTCACATGTTTTAGCTGCCAATATGGTGGCTGCTTGATTTAATACTTCTACTCATGATTAAGCCATTTCTTCATTGTGTTGCTGCTACCGGGAACAGACCTTTATGTAGCACATGGCTGATGTCCTGATGCTTTGCTTGTCTACATGAGCACCACTTCAAGTTACAGTCATTTTCTGCTCAAGTCGATCCGGTACTGCATGCAAGTTCAATGACATATTTAGCCTGTTCGCTTGTTGGTTTCAGCCAGGGCTTATCAGTCATGGTACAGTAATTTCCTCTCACAACAAACCAGCACCAGCCGGGCTTATCAGCCCAGAAACCAACCAGCGAACAGGCTGATTGTGCGTACATAATAAAACTTTATCAATATGTTTAAACCAATACTGAATCCATGAATTGTAGAAATGAATAAAAAGGGCAGACCTAGTGCCGGAGGCTCCCACATGAGTGGAGTCTGGGGAAGGGATAAACCGATGAATGCTAAAAACAATTTTTTATGTGGAGCAGTAATTCTCTAAGTTCCATTCAGCAAAGGTGCATTAGGAAAGAACAATGCACACATATAATTATAAGAAAAATATTAAGATACATAGTAGTAGTAAACATAATACAAATGCAGCTAGGGTCAATTAGTTGATTATATTTGAATATCTATATTTTTGATTGATACTCCAACACTTAGATAATTCAGGGACAGACAATTTAGTCACCAGTGGAGGACTAAGATTGAGTACTTCATATATTGTTGAAAAAAAATGAAAACGGGCTAAGCCCTGAAGACCACTTTTGATATTGTTAAATGAACAGCTTTTATTTGCATAAGTTGATACGATAATATTTCACTAGTATCTGTTAGAACTTTTGTTTCTGCATGACTGAGAAGTGAATTTCTTGAATCAAACTTCAGAAGTTTATGCATACTATCATTGACACCATCATTTCCGGTTGGTGTTACTTAGTCGATTAATTCATTGTTGCAATATTCCTCTGAAAATTCATTGGGGGAATTCATAACATTTCATTTCATTATATGATTAATTTTTCTGCAGCCTCTCAATACAAAACTGTTGTTGTGGACTCTCTTCATGTATGAGTTTTATATTTTGCATGATCGTTTCAAGTATGATTCCAAAGTTTTGTCCATCTGGGTGTGGAACTCCGTCTTGTTTTGGCAAATTCTTTTTCAGACAACCTACTGTGTACTGATACTGAATAGCAAGGCTCCAGGCTTCTTGATTATTGGAAGATTTTTCTCTTTTATTATTATATTTAGAATAACAGAAGTATGCTTTTTTAATGAGAAAATAAAAGCTGCATGGGCCAAAAGCTCAAAAATCAGTCTGCACTCTGATCCATCATTTTCCTTTTTTTAGGATTAATCCGCATTCAGTGGTGGTCTGCTTGAGCCTTGAGCATCTAATAGGCATTAGTTTTGGCTTTGAATGGCCCATCTATTTTTGAGAAAATTGGATTTTTGCTGGCTTAAATAGTGGGGCTTCGCAAAATATGTGCTTCTTGTTTTCCCTGGCATTTTAACTATTTTTCCTTTTTTTCTCCTAGACTCAGCTACCCGAAAAGACAAAATTACGCTTATGCAAATGTGACGTACCTTGTATTGACTGTTGAACGCCTGCAGGCTGCAGGTGGCTAGCTAGGTGGTCTGTGTGGTCGCTGGGTGGCTGCTTGGCTTGCTGGCCGGCCGGCGGTCGGCTGATGGTATGGTTGGCCGGCTGGCCGCCAGCATTGTACATGGGTCATATGACCATAATCTAATAAAAAAAACATGTGCTATAGAGTTAAAAATATGTGTATCTTACAAATTCATAATTTGAGAATAAATAAGGATATCTCACAAATCCATAATTTGAGAATAAACGAGTTCATCTCACAAACCCATAAATTAAGCCTAATTGAGTTCATCTCACAAATCCATAAATGTATACTGAATGAGTTATCTCACAAATCCATAATTAAATGAGTTCATCTCATAGCAAATAAACCATGAGTTTACATCTCACAAAATAAGTGTTCACATGTCACGCAATATCATTCATCCCATACGTAGCTTTCTCTCTAGAGACAATTTTTTTTGGTGCAGCTGTATATTAAATGGCATAGGTTATATGTGTTACTGTTCTTACCTTCTAGTCATCCTTTGTGGACTATCCTACAGTATTTGTTCTCTAGTTGGTATTTGTGGGGTGGTAAGTTCACCGCTTAGTTTTTAACGTGCTTTCCAGTCTGCCTCTTTCTACAAGTAAAAATAAATAACTTTTGTAATGACATGGTAATTCAAGCTTTGAATGAAAAAAAAAACAATACTTGACTCTTTTTTTGTCCCATTGACTCGTGAGTTGTGACCCTTTTCACTGCATCTCTTGTTAGTCATTGGGGCTGTAAACATTTCTTTCCCCTTAGAATTGGTTTGGAGCGGTACCTTGTTGATGTCGTGCAACGAGGCCAGAGCCGGAATGGCGGGCAGCATGGGTATGTAGGATGAAACCCTTTTCCAAGTGGTTAAGGTCATCAATAACCCAAGATACCTAGCATTTCTTTTGTCATTTCTCCGTAAATGTTTGGCCATTGTTATGTTTTATGTGCTAATATATATACAATCTGGGTTGCATTGATGAGTACTATTTTAGTGCAGGAATCAAGCGCCCGCGTTTCGCTCCCAATTGACAAGAAAGACATGACATGCTTATTACATAAGGCTGGGTTATCTGGCACTCGAACTAAATACATATAGAAGGTAGTGGAACAATGCCAAATTCTTAGCAAGGCGAAAGCCAGCATCAGAGTCTAGACGAGCTCCAAATTAAGCTTTGCCAAGAAGTGAGAGGCGACACATGCAGTGTGTATTCTCCACGTGAATTATTAGTTTACACAGTATTCGCATTGTCTTTTTAGGAAGTTCAAGATACTTGCAAGAAACTAGGTAAAATTGAAAACAATTCATAATTTGGGATAGAGTACTAAAAAAGAATTTAAATGGATTATGTTTTCCCATAGGCAATATTTTTATTCTCTGCTTATTTTATTTCCTAGTGACACTTTTTTTTGAGCAAAAATATGACAATTTTATTTCCTAGTAACGGAGCACATTGGCTTACGCATGGGCCAAGAGCCCAAAACTCCGGCAGCACACCTGGTCTTCTTGAGCGTCCACGTTTCGGCCCTGAAAGGCCCAGTTCCCTTAGTTTAACCTCGCAGGGTCGCAGCGGCCAGCACATCGGTTTCTGATTTTTCTAAAAAAAAAAATGTCAGTCTACCCAACAACCATATATCAACACATGAATTTTTTTTACCATAGAATTAAGATCCAACAGCCTCCATCCTCCTTCTATCTCCAGCCTTCTTCTACCCTCAGCATTTTTCTACCTCTAGATAATCACAAATCACAAGATCACAGATCACGAGAAACAATTTTTTTCTATGCAAAGATAAAAGGACAAATCAGTAAAACACATGTGTCACGTACCGCATCTGCTCCTGCTGGGCCGCGTACGTACGGGCCCCGGCGCTCTGCCGCCGCCGCCAGCCCGGTCGAGGGTGACCGATCACACACGCCTCTCGCTGGATTTTCACCTGGGCCTTGTTTAGTTTACATCAAAATTCCAAGTTTTTTCACTCTCTCTCCATCACATCAATTTTTAGCCGCTTGCATGGAGCATTAAATGTAGGTAAAAAAAATAACTAATTGCACAGTTTAGTTGGAAATCACGAGATGAATCTTTTGAGCTTAGTTGGTCCACAATTGGACAATATTTACCAAATAAGACGAAAACGCTACTATTCATCAGGTTGCAATTTTTTGCAATCTAAACATGGCCCTGGGCTGTCACCTGCTGACACGGTTCAGTGGGGGACGGGAAGAGAGGGAAAAAAAATCCATGCGTTTTTATTTTTGTGGTACATCTATGAAAAAAAAACATCGGTTTCTGCCTTTCTGGTTCCGGCGGAGTTGGGTGAGGGACGAGGCGAATGAGAGGAAGGGTTTTCCCCAAATCCGGGACGAGAATGGCCATCGGTTCCGACAGCGGCGGCGGCGGCGGAGGGAAGAGGCAAAGGGTGGATGACCGATGCGAGGCGGTGGCTTCGGATGCGGTCCCGGTATACCGCATCTCGGCGCTGCCGGACGAGCTGCGGCTGCACGTCCTGACGCACCTCCCCCTCAAGGACGCCATCCGCAAGGGGTCGCTCGCTCGAGGGTGGCGCGGCCTGTGGAGGGGCCGGTGGGCGCATCGCGCCTCCCTCGAGGTGCACCTCCGCTCCCGCGACGACCCGTGGAGAGAGCTGGACGCGCTGGCGCGCGAGCCGCGGCCGCGCCGCCGCCTCGAGCGCTTCTCCCTGATCGTCGACATCTGCAACCTCAAGTCCTCTTAACTCCGGCGTTTTCTCGATTACGCCGCCGAGTGCGGCGTCGAGGACCTCCACGTGCAGACGCTCCAGGGCACGACCGCGAGCAGGCTCAACTTCCACTTGCCGCTGTCGAGCCCGGCCCTCGCGTGCCTCTCGCTCCGCCACATCAGCGTCTCTAAAATGTACAACAAGGGCGCCCGGCCATTCCACGCTCTCGAGGTCATCCGGCTCGCATGTCTCCTTCCGCAGGGAGGCTTTCAGAGAAATGATTGCGCTTGTGCCCCAGCCTCCTCACTCTCGATCTGCGCTGCTGCAGCTGTAACGGTTTGGTGTTCGACAGGCTGCCGCCGAACCTGAGGAGTCTTACCATCGCGGGCTGTGATAGGATTACCAGTCTGGACTTCGTGCGTGTTCCTAGCCTGCGCTCCTTCCGCTACAGCGGCTGCTTCTCCAACTTGCCTTTATCCATTCCACGCGATGCCGTGCTTTATGATCTTTATTCGGCTAGCAGAATTTTGATGGAAACTAGCTAAAAAATACTGTTCTAACTGAATTGCTGGGAGAGAAAAATACTATTTCGACTAAAAAAAGAAGCCGAACAAGCCGAACGGGGCCTAAGATCAAAAAGCACTTAGGAGTAACTTTTAGTTATATGACTCAGTAACGATGAAAGAGTGGCATATCGATAAGTTGAGGAAATCTCTCCCGAAGGATTTATCCAGACTCAACGTTCTCACCATCAGTTACAAAGCCCTCACGGTACTTTCTCCGAATTCAATCTTGTTTATTATTTCTGGTCTTCTTGTCACTTAGGAGTAACTTTTAGTTGCTTGATTTCCATAAATATGAAAGAAAAAAAATCATGGTTTCCTAACCTAACCATGCCTTTTATTTTAGGGTGCATCTGTCTTTTCAGACGATGGGGTCAGTGCCCAATTGCCCAATTTCAACTTACATGGATTGAAAGAGCTACACCTACTCATGTTACAAACGAAAGCTGTCAACCTAGCTAACCTGTATCTGTTCCTCAAGACCTTCCAGTGTCCTAATCTGGAGAGGCTCTTTGTGCAGGTTAACACAATCAATGCCTTTTTAATTTCTTTGCTTCATAGTCATCCTGTCTTTTTTACTATGGTTCTTCTTTGTAGCTCCCAGCATATAGATTAAAGCCCACGGGAGGTTCTATTGATCAGGTGCGGGAAGAGCCACCGGAAGATGGCTTAGACAACCTTGTCATGATAAAGGTCATGAACTTCAACTGGTGCCCCACCGAGGTGCAGCTAGTGAGTTTTCTATTGAGGAAAGCTAGCTCTATGCAGAAACTGTTAATAGTTTCTCGCAATGTCACTCCAGTGGATTCGCCCGGTGCACCAGAAGCAGACCTTTCACTTCTCAAAGAAGCTTTGGTCAATGGCACGATAATGTTTACCGAGTCAGATAATACAGCAACTCAACCATATCATAAGGCCTATATCAATCTATAGTGCAGTCACCAGTCGAATCAGAGCCCTATGGATAGTAATACTAGCCTATCAGGACATTAACATTTTGGTCTCAGTTCTTACTGAGAAAATTGTAAGATATCAAGAAACCAATGTTGTCTCCTTAATTTGTTTATTGAATATTACTCCTAGCGAAGTATTAAAAATGCATGGTGTTCCAATATGCTCTTGCTTTGATGTCTTGGCACCACTCGCATGATGTATTTGACATATTAATATTATCCTTATGATGATGAATCGGAGCAACTCTGGAGCTTCATATTATCTTTCATAACTCAAACGAATATGAGTTAAGTTGTGGATCACACTTCTCCTATATTTTAGGTGCCTGAGTTTTCGTTGTTGTTCAGGCAGCATGTAAATTTTTCATTGTTTATTTGGCTAATAGAAAAAAAAAGTATGACTTGTCTCTTGTGAGTTGTCCTTTTAATTATACTTGTTGATTGTATAAAATTGTTGCCTGCAAATTCATGCACTTGAAATATAGCAACTCCCATAATGATATGTTATGTCTTATCGGTTATGTTTCTTGTTGATATTTACCTTGAGGTATCAGATTGAATCAAAGTGAAGAGGTCTGTGCTAACTTTCATGGCCTGTAGTCTTGTTGCCAACATTTTTTGATATGATAACTTTCAAGAAGTAGCCTGATTGATAAACAGAGTGCAATTCTGATAGTGATGGATGTAATCATCTGTTGTGATTGCCATGGGGTGGGGTGCGAACTAGAGAAGCAAACTTGGTTACAGACTTCTGTTGTCAATGATTTTTCATGGTTTATGGTTGCTAATTGAGTAATGGTTCTCTATCTCCCTTTGCTATGCACCGCATGGAAAAAGTGATTTCTACTCAAATATGGTGTAGCACATGGTAGATTGGATAACTTTATGTCATTAAATAGATGAATTGTGATACTAAATTGCTCTTTGGAGTTTGTTGTCTACTTTAAGTAACATTTTTTGTTGTTGTTGGGGTGGGGTGGGGTGGGGGTGGGGGGCAGCTTAGCCATATTTCTTTGTTATATTTATAGGTACCCTGCACTGTTTACTTTTCTGTGTTATTCTTTTCTTGTTAAGGCTTTCAATAATTATCAAAACACTTCTGAACATTATAGCTAGCGCACCTAGCACACTTTATAATTATAATCGAGCTTTGTGCCTCTTAAGTACGAATGTGGGCAGAGAATCTGATATCATTGTTTTTTTTAGTGCATAGAGCTCAGAGTTTCAGTCGGAAAGAATAAACTTTCCTATCTCGCGTCTTTATTCAGTCCTGCATTTTTTATGCATTGAGGTGGCACAGCATGTGTATTAAGTTGCCCCTTTCAGTTCCTATGAGTTTGGTAGTTTGCTTGCTGATTCAAATTTATCATCTTTGCTAGTTGCTACCCATAATGAAATGATATCATAGGGTAATCTTGTGCATCTAGTGCTGTGTCATGCTCTTGGTTTTTGTTGTTCGCATGTTTTAGCGGCCTATATGGTGGCTGCTTGATGTAATATTTCTACTCATGGTGAAGCCATTTCTTCATTGCGTTGCTGCTACCAGGACCGGCTACCTTTATGTTTCGGGCCTGATGCCCTGATGCTTCAGCAAGTGCATGGTACTATAAAAGAACCAGAAGTCAGAACTTGCTTTTGCAGTCAAATTGCGCGTGCTTTTCTTGTCTATACATGAGCATCAGTTCAAGTTACAGTTATTTTCTGCTTAAGTCGAGCTGGTACTGCATGCAAAGTTCAATGACCTATTGTACGTACTTAATAAAACTTTATCGGTATGTTTGAACAAATACTACTGAATCCATGAATCGCAGAATCAATGGATGCTGACAGCAATCTTTTATATGGAGCAGTAATTCTCTAGGTTCCATTCAGCATAGGTGCATTTAGGATTTTGAACAATGCACACATATAATTATAAGAAAATTATTTCAAATATATAGTAGTGCTAAACATAATACAATGCATCCAGGCTCAATTAGTCAATTATATTAGGATATTTTTTATGGTTGATTGATACCTCAATTATATTAAGATAACTCAGGGAGACAAGGACAGACAATTTAGTCACCAGTGCAGGACTAAATTATGTACTTCATACATTATTGAAAAATAAAATAAAAGCTGGCTCAGTGTTGAACGCCAGTTTTGATATTATTGTTAACTCAACAACTTTAATTTTCATAAGTTGATAAGATAATATTTGATTAGTATATGTTAGGACTTTGGTTTCTGCACTACCGAGTGGTGAATTTCTTAAATTAGAGTTCAGAAATTTATGCATACTATCATTGATACCAATACCATCTTTTCTTTTTGGTGTTACTTAGTCTATTATATTCATCATCTGATTAGTTTTATGTAGCCTCACGGTCAAAAACTATTGCTGTGGATCTTCATGTATGAGTTTTATTTATTATTATATTTTGCATGATCGTTTTCAAGTGTGATTCCGAAGTTTTATCCACCTACTGTAGAACTGCATCTTGTTTTGCCCAAGTACTGACTAGCAAGAATCCAGCCGTAAGAGTTTTTTCTCTTTTATTTTTTCAAATAAAAGAAGTATTCTTAATAATGGGAAAATAGAAGAAAAGAAAACGTTCTTTTTTTTTAGCACAAAGAAAACGTTCATACCAGTACAAGGTTTATGCATTGCGGCATGGGCCGAAAGCTCAAAATTAAGTCCGCACTCCGTGGCTCTGCTTGAGCGTCCCTGGGCATCAGTTTCGGCCCAGTTCAACAGTCCATCTCTTTTTCGATAGCAGATCGTGGGGACAGAGGGTTTTCCCAAATTGGAGAACGAGAGGGAGATGGCGATCGGCACCGACGGCGGCGCCGGCGTCTGCAGCGGAGGCGGAGAGAAGAGGAAGAGGGTGGATGAGCTTGGGGACCGATGCGAAGCGGTGGATCGCATCTCCGCGCTGCCGAACGAGCTGCGGCAGCACATCCTGACGCACCTCCCCCTCAAGGACGCCATTCGCATGGGGGCGCTCGCGCGCGGGTGGCGCGACCTGTGGAAGGACCGGTGGGCGTACCCCGCCTCTGTCGAGGTCCAACTCCGCTCCCGCGACGCCCTACTGAGGGAGCTCGACGCGCTGGCTCGCGAGCCGGGCCCGCGTCGCCGCCTCGACCGCTTCTCCCTCGTCGTCGAGACCAGCAAGCTCAAGTCCTCGGAGCTCCGACGCTTTACCGAATACGCCGCCGAGTGCCGCGTCGAGGACCTCCACATCGAGATCCCAAGCTTCATCACTCTCGACCTGTGCGGCTGCCATTGTGACTTGAAGAGACGCTGGACCATCATGCATTGGAACCTGAGGAGAGTCACCATCGTGGAGTGCGACGGATACACCAGAGCGAATTTGGCCTGTTTGCCTAGACTCAGTATTCGCCTAAACGGCCTAAACAACGGTTAAACGGCCGGTAAACGGTGGTGTTCAGGGGTAAACGGAAATTAGACGATTAACCGTTTAAATGGTCAAAAAACGAAAAAAAACGGTCTAAATGGTCTAAACAGAACGGAGATAAACAATATTAAATGGGCTAAACACGGCTGTTTAGGCGAACACGAGATAAATTTAGTTCAGTTTTGTATGGATAAATTTGTATACTTAAGTTTATTATATTTATAAATATGTACACTTGATATGTTACATGTATAAATATCTTTATTTGGTTTTTTTTACATTCATAAATATATATATACATACCAAAATAATTGATTTTTACTCGGATAAATATGGATAAATGCTAGAATACTTGATTTTTTACATGCACATATATAAATTATATGTATTTTTTTTTAAAGTACAAAATCATTTAGATCGTTTAATTTCGTTTAAACATCATGTAAACAGCCTAAATGCTAAACGAAGGACGATCGTATAAAGACCGTTTACCGTTTAGGAAAGCATTGCCTATCCTTCTGCTACAGTGGCGACTTCCTCGAGATGCCGTTCTTCGTTCAAAGCCACACCGCGCTTGCTGATCTTTCTATTCGGTTTACTCACCCAGTAAAAGAGGTTAACCATAAGTTGAAATATTGTTATTTCCCAAAGGATTATCCGGCCTCAACTTCCTCACCGTATGTTGCAATGCCCTCCCGGTATGTTCTTTGTATTGGATTTTATTTTATCTGGTCTCCTAATCACCTTGCTACAAGTTGTTTGATTTTATCAAAAATACAAATACAAAGGTCTTTTAACCTAATCATGCCTTTTTTTTAGCTTTTCTCTTCGTTGCCAAATATTCGACCAAGTGCCCCAAGGCCCAGTCTCAATACATGGTTTGAAAGAGCTACAGCTACTCATGCTAGAAATGGAAACTGTTAACCTTGCTGGCCTCTATGTGTTCCTCAAGGCCTGCCAATGTCCTAATCTGGAGAGGCTCTTTGTGCAGGTATACCTTCAATGTTTTCTAAATTCCATTGCTTCATAGTCATCCTGAGATCTTGTCTAATTGTAATGCTTGTGAATGATTATGGTTCATCTTTATAGCTCCCGACATTTAAATATTTGCCCAAGAAAGGTTCTGTTGATGAGGTGAGGGAAGAGCCACCGCAGGACGTTGTGATGGTAAAGGTCACGAACTTCAATTGGTGCTGCATTGAGGTGCAGCTAGTCAGTTTTCTATTGAGGAAAGCTAGCTCCCTGTAGAAATTATTTTAATAGTTTCACCCAATGTCACTCCACTGGATTTGCCCGGTGTACTAGAAGCAAGCGTTTTGCTTCTCAAAGAAGCTTTGGCCAGTGGCAAGATAGTGTTTAGGGAGTTTGATGATGGTGCAACAGAACCGTATCATTCTGAGGTTTTTACCAAGCTTTAATTGTCAGTGATCAGTCAAGTCAGAGCCCTTTGGATAGTAATAACTATCTGGTCACTATCCTTTTGGTGGTAGCTCTTATAGATAATATATGAAAAGCATTGTTTTCTTGTTAATATATTTCTTCAATGTTACTACTAGCAAAGTTAAAATGCATGGTATCCTGTCCTGTATGTGCTTGCTTTCATGTCTTGATACCACTTGCATCTTGTATTTGCCATATTATCCCTATGAATTGAAGCAGCTTTGTATCATATTTAACAATTCAAACAAAGATGAATGAAGTTGTGTATCAGACATATTGATGATGCTATATGTTGTCGCCTTGTCGGTCTTCTTCCTTGTTCATTTGTTACCTTGAGGTATCAGATTGCATCAAAGTGGGGAGGCTTTTTCTTATTTACATGAGCTGTAGTCTTTTTGCCATTTTTCGATATGGTAATATTCAGGAAGTTGCCCTATTGATATACAAAGTGGCAAAGTGCAATGCTGCTAGTGATGAATTTAGTTGTTTGTTGTGACTTCTATGGAGTGTGAACTAGAGAAGCAAATTAGTAACATAATTCCCATTCTTTTTTATCAATAATTTTCATGATTTATGGATGCTAATCCCTTTACTATGGACTAATCAAGAAATGGGATTTTACCTGAAATAAAGCTAGTGCACGGGAGATTGGATATGCTTCCATCATTCAATTGTACCTTGTAACTATGAAAGAGGGCTGAAAAATCAAAGATTATCGTTTCTTTTCTCTTTATTTTTTGAGTGAGAACATCTGACAGTTTCAGTAGGAAAGTGTGAAGATTTACCTTGGAACTCAACCATCTCATTCTGAAGTATCAAGTTTTAGTTGTTAATGACGAGTCTAGTTGGAGCCCTATGGATAGAATACCAGACTATTAGGGAATTATCCTGTTGCTTGTAGCTCTTATATTGATAAAATATGAAGAAACCAAAATTGCGGATGAGAAATATTAGTGATAATGTTATATGTTGGTTTCTTGCCTTGAGGTATAAGTGCATCAAAGTGGGGAGGTCTGCACTTATTTACATGACTTTGTAGCCTTGTTCCCAACATATATTTTTGATATGGTAATTTTCGAGAAGTAGCTTGATTGATATACAAAGTGCAATGCTGATAGTGATGGATATAATTATCTGTTGCGACTGTCATGGTCTCAGAATGTGAACTTGAGAAGTACGTGTTTGGTAACAGTTTTTCTGCTAATAATTTTAAATGGTTCACTATCTCCCTTTGCTATGGAAATTATGTGATTTCTAACTGAAATAAGGTGTGGATGAGAAACTGAATTGTTACCAAATTATGTGATTTCTAATTGAATTGCTAAAACCACTATTTGGAGCTTGTGTCTACTCTAGTCCTGTGGGGCATATGTGTACGGGTGCGGGGGTGTGGGTGTGGGTGGGTGGGGAGGGCTTCTCGCCGTATTTCTTATAGCTGTTCTTCAATGTTTACTTATCTTTCTTATTGTTTTCTTGTCATTTATCAAGGCTCTCAATAATGATGTTTTCCATTTTGAACATCGTACTTATCATCTGAAAGGATGAAAATCTTCCTATTCAAGTCTTTATTTACTGCTGGATTTGTTTATGCATCCAGTGTGGCACAATTTATGCCAATTTTTCAAGGTTTTCCCCCTGTATGTTCCTTTTAATTTGGTGCTTTGCTTTCTGATTACTTATGATAACTCATTGACTGACAATTAAGTCCACCAATGCTTGACTAAAATTCAGTACTTGAAACATTGTCGAAAAATAAAATGAAACTAGTTCAGTCCTAAACACTACTTTTGATTTGCTACGTGAACACTTCCATTTACATAAGACTGATGCCATAATACTTCACTAGTATCTCCGACGTTCAGATGCCGTAGCACTTAGCATTAAGGAATCCACATCAATTAGTCAATCTATTGGTTCTTTTGTTTCTGCATCACAGAGTGGTGAATTTCTTGAATCAGAGCTCAGAAGTTTTCTTGAATATTACAACAGCAACAATAACAACAACATAGTCTTTTAGTCCCATGCAAGTTGGGGTAGGTTAGAGTTGAAACCCACCAAAAGCCCTAAGTCACGGTTCAGGCACTTCAATAGCTGCTTTCCAAACACTTCTATTCAAACATAGATCTTTAGGTATATCCCAAGCTTTCAAATCTCTTTTTATTGCATCTCCCATGTCAATTTCGGTCTTGCTTTACCTCTTCTTATATTATTAGTTTGGTTTAGGACTCCACAATGCACTGGTGCCTCTAGAGGTCTCCTTTGGACATGGCTAAACCACCTCAATCAATGTTGGATAAGTTTTTCTTCAATTGGTGCTACCTCTAGGCGATCACATATATCATCGTTTCGAACTCGGTCCATTCTTGTGTGGCCATAAATCCATCGCAACATATGTATTTCTACAACACTCAGTTGTTGAACATGTCAAATCTTTATAGGTCAACATTCTGCTCCATACAACATAGCCGGTCTAATCGTTGTTCTATAAAACTTGCCTTTTAACTTTTGTGGTACCCTCTTGTCACAGAGAAGGCCAGAAGCTTGTCGCCACTTGATCCACCCTGCTTTGATTCTATGGCTAACATCCGCATCAATATTTCCATCCCTCTGTAGCATCGATCCCAGATATCGAAAGGTATCCTTCTTAGGCACTACTTGACCTTCCAAACTCACATCTCCCTCCTCCTATGCAGCTCCACCAAAGTCACATCTCATGTATTCGGTTTTAGTTCGGCTCAATCTAAAACCTTTAAACTCAAGGGTCTGCCGCCATAACTCTAGTTTTCTATTTACTCCCGCCTGACTTTCGTCCACTAACACTACATCATCAGCGAACAACATACACCAAGGGATATCCCCTTGTATGTTCCTGGTAACCTCATCCATTACCAAGACAAAGAGATACGGGCTTAAGCTGACCCTTGATGAAGTCCAGTTTTAATCGAAAAATAATCTGTGTTACCATCATTGTTCGAACACTAGTCACAACATTGTTGTACATGTCATTGATGAGGGTCACATACTTTGATGGGACTTTATGTTTGTTCAAATCCCACCACATAACATTTCTTGGTATCTTGTCATAAGCTTTCTCCAAGTCAATGAAAACCATGTGGAGGTCCTTCTTCTGCTGAAATGTCCTAATGGCTAGAGGAGGGATGAATAGCCTATTAAAAATTTCTACAACAACACTTAACAAACCGGTTAGACAATTATGAGGCGAAGCAAGTGTTGCGCTAGCCTACTAAAAATGCAAGCCACCTACCACAATTCTAGTTTCTATAGTTTCTATCCACACAATGGCTATGTCACTACACTAAGTTAGTGTGCTCTCAAAGACTAACTAAAGAGCCACACTAACCAAACTAACAAGCTCTCACAACTAGTTACACTAAAGAGCTTGATAACTAATTTGCGGTAATGTAAAGAGAGGGAGTAAGATGGTTATACCGCTGTGTCGAGGAATGAACCAATCAATCACAAGAATCAATATCAATGAAGACCAATCACCTCGGAATCAAATGATGACACAATAATTTTTTACCGAGGTTCATTTGCTTGCCGATAAGCTAGTCCTCGTTGTGGTGATTCACTCACTTAGAGGTTCACACGCTAATTGGCATCACACGCAAAACCCTCAATAGGGTGCCGCACAGCCAACACAAGATGAGGATCCCATAAGCCACGAGCAATTCACTAGAGTACCTTTTGGCTCTTTGCTAGGGAAAGGTCAAGAACCCCTCACAATCACCATGATCGGAGCCAGAGACAATCACCAACCTCCGCTCGACGATCCTCGCTGCTCTAAGCCGTCTAGGTGACGGCAACCACCAAGAGTAACAAACAAATCCTGCAGCGAAATACGAACAACAAGTGCCTCTAGATGCAAACACTCAAGCAATGCACTTGGATTCACTCTCAATCTCATAAAGATGTTGAATCTATGATGGAGATGAGTGGGAGGGCTTTGGATAAGCTCACAAGGTTGCTATGTCAATGCAAATGACCAAGAGAGTGAGTTAGAGCCGGCCAAATGGTATTTATAGACACCCTAAAGAATAGAGCCATTGGCTCAATTATTGGGCTGACTGCGCATCGACCGGACGCGGAGGTCATGGTGCACCGGATGCTCAGGTCGTGTATACCGAACGCGTCCGGTAGGGTGACCGGACACGTTCGGTCGCTATCTGACTGTCACGTGTCCAATTCAAACTGATGTAGCCGTTGCTGCCACGAGTCCCATGCGACCAGACGCTCTGACCGGACGCTGAGTTAGAAACGACCGGACGCTGAGCCGCAGCGTCCGGTCAAGTCCAGAGAGTTCCTAGGGCCGACCGGACGCATCCGGTCACTCCGGACCGGACACAGGAGACACAGCGTCCGATCGAGTCCAGCAAGCTCCTAGGGCCGACCAGCGCTCCCAGCGTCCGATCAACTGTTATACTGAACATCGACTTCGCTGATTCACACCGGACGCGTTCAGTGTGGCGACCGGACACGTCCGGTCGCTGAGTTCGGTCATTAATACCGAACACGTCCGGTCACCATACCGGACGCGTCCAGTCACTCTGTGACCAGCACGACTAACTCATTTTCAACTCTATCTTCTTCACCCTTGCTCAAATGTGTCAACCACCAAGTGTATCACCATGTGCACATGTGTTAGCATATTTTCACAAACATTTTCAAGGGTGTTAGCACCCCACTAGATCCTAAATGCATATGCAATGAGTTAGAGCATCTAGTGGCACTTTGATAACCGTATTTTGATACGAGTTTCACTCCTCTTAATAGTACGGCTATCGAAC